AGGGTGAGAGCAGAGGGAGGTAATGTATTGAGGGTGAGAGTAGAGGGAGGTAATGGATTGAGGGTGAGAGTAGAGGGAGGTAATGTATTGAGGTTGAGAGTAGAGGGAGGTAATGTATTGAGGGTGAGAGCAGAGGGAGGTAATGTATTGAGGGTGAGAAGTAGAGGTAGAGAGTACTGTATTGAGGGTGAGAGTAGAGGGAGGTATGTATTGAGGGTGAGAGCAGAGGGAGGTAATGTATTGAGGGTGAGAGTAGAGGGAGGTGTAATGTATTGAGGGTGAGGAGTAGAGGGAGGTAATGTATTGAGGGTGAGAGTAGAGGGAGGTATGTATTGAGGGTGAGAGTAGAGGGAGGTCTGTATTGAGGGTGGAGTAGAGGGAGGTAATGTATTGGGGTGACGAGTAGAGGGAGGTACATGTATTGAGGGTGAGAGCAGAGGGCGGTAATGTCTTGAGGGTGCGAGAGAGGGAGGTATGTATTGGGGTGGGTAGGGGGTATGTATTGAGGTGGAGAAGGGTGGTACATGTTTGAGGGTGGGTAGCGGCGGTAATGTATTGAGGGTCGCAGTAGAGGGAGGTACTGTATTGAGGTGTGAGCGGAGAGGGAGTAATGTATTGAGGGTGAGCAGTTTAGCAAGTGGAGGGTGATATAGTTTAACACAGGGTTTCCCCCAAACTCGGTCCTGGGGACCCCAAGGGGTGCACGTTTTGTTTTTTTTGCCCCTAACACTACACAGCTGATTCAACTAATCAACTCATCATCAAGCTTTGATCATTTGAATCAGCTGTGTAGTGTTAGGGGCAGAAACCAAAACGTGCCCCCCTTGGGGTCCCCAGGACCAGGTTTGGGAAACGCTGGTTTAACATAACTGATGACTACAGATATGTGAGTGATATGGCAACGGAACTGTGAGTGATATGGCAACAGAACTGCGTGCATGAATGGTGAGTCTGCGCCTTACCTTGCATGTGTACGTGTGCGTACTGTTTGCCTGCCTGCGAGTGTGCCTGTTTGTGTGTGCACGTGTACGTGTGTGTGTGTGCATGTGTACGTGCGTGTGTGTGTGTGTGCATGTGTACGTGTGTGTGTGTGCCCTCCTCACCTCTGCAGATCTGCACCAGTCCCACCACTATGATGAGTCCCAGGGCCAGCAGCTTCCCCACTGTGAACACATCCTGGATCCTAGTGGCCCAGCGAACACTGGAACAGTTCACCCACGTCAGGAACACTGGGTCAGAGAGAGAGAGGGAGAGATGAGCGTCCACATGCACACTCTAACCCTAAATCACTTTTTCATATGAAGAAAGACTTGCTAAAGTGCCCAAAATGCAGCATTGCGACCCTCCGTCCACCCTCTGTGAATTCTATGAAGATTCTAACCAACTTACCCCCCCAAAAAAAAAATTCTCCAAGTTTCACCATCATTGTAAAGCCTTAGTTATTTTGTTGCTTTTACAAAGTAATTTCTGAAGATTATTAATGATTTCGTAGTGATTCATTTACGTCTGTCCCTCATTGTAAGGTCAACCCTGTTACGTGAACTTAACTCTTGTTTTAATATGGTCAAACTATTTCTTTTAAAATATTTTATTCAAAACAAACATTGAACATCTCTTAGTCAAATTAAATGTTTTAGTCATTTAGCAGATGCTCTTATCCAGAGCGACTTACAGTTAGTGAGTGCATACATTTTTTCATACTGGCCCCCCGTGGGAATCGAACCCACAAACCTGGCGTTGCAAGCGCCATGCTCTACCAACTGAGCTACACTGTACACTGTACATATTATGGCTATGTACAGTGTTGTAACAATGTGCAAATAGTTAAAGTACAAATGGGAAAATAAATAAACATAAATATGGGTTGTATTTCCAATGGTGTTTGTTCTTCACTGGTTGCCATTTTCTTGTGGCAACAGGTCACAAATCTTGCAGCTGTGATGGCACACTGTGGTTTTTCACCCAGTAGATAAGGGAGTTTATCACCATTGGGATTGTTTCCGAATTCTTTTTGGATCTCTGTAATCTGAGGGAAATATGTGTCTCTAATATGGTCACACATTTGGCAGGAGGTTAGGAAGTGCAGCTCAGTTTCCACCTCATTTTGTGGGCAGTGTGCACGTAGCCTGTCTTCTCTTGAGAGCCAGGTCTGCCTACGGCGGACTTTCTCAATAGCAAGGCTATGCTCACTGAGTCTGTACATAATCAAATCTTTCCTTAAGTTTGGGTCAGTCACAGTGGTCAGGTATTCTGCCACTGTGTACTCTCTGTTTAGGGCCAAATAGCATTCTAGTTTGCTCTGTTTTTTTGTTAATTCTTTCCAATGTGTCAAGTAATTCTCTTTTTGTTTTCTCATGATTTGGTTGGGTCTAATTGTGTTGCTGTCCTGTGGCTCTATGGGGTCTGTTTGTGTTTGTGAACAGAGCCCCAGGACCAGCTTACTTAGGGGACTCTTCTCCAAGTTCATCTCTCTGTAGGTGATGGCTTTGCTATGGAAGGTTTGGGAATCACTTCCTTTTAAGTGGTTATAGAATTTAACGGCTCTTTTCTGGATTTTGATAATTAGCGGGTATCGGCCTAATTCTGCTCTGCATGCATTATTTGGTGTTTTCCGTTGTACACAGAGGATGTTTTTGCAGAATTCTGCATGCAGAGTCTCAATTTGGTGTTTGTCCCATTTTGTGAATTATTGGTTGGTGAGCGGACCCCAGACCTCACAACCATAAAGGGCAATGGGTTCTATAACTGATTCAAGTATTTTTAGCCAGATCCTGATTCATATGTCAAATTTTATGTTCCTTTTGATGGCATAGAAGGCCCTTCTTGCCTTGTCTCTCAGATCGTTCACAGCTTTGTGGAAGTTACCTGTGGCGCTGATGTTTAGGCCGAAGTATGTATAGTTTTTTGTGTGCTCTAGGGCAATGGTGTCTAGATGGAATTTGTATTTTTTGGTCCTGGCAACTGGACCTTTTTTGGAAAACAATTATTTTTGTCTTACTGAGATTTACTGTCAGGGCCCAGGTCTGACAGAATCTGTGCAGAAGATCTAGGTGCTGCTGTAGGCCCTCCTTGGTTGGTGACAGAAGCACCAGATCATCAGCAAACAGTAGACATTTGACTTCAGATTCTAGTAGGGTGAGGCCAGGTGCTGCAGACTGTTCTAGTGCCCTCGCCAATTCATTGATATAAATGTTGAAGAGGGTGGGGCTTAAAATGCATCCCTGTCTCACCCCACATCCCTGTGGAAAGAAATGTGTGTGTTTTTTGCGAATTTTAACTGCACACTTGTTGTTTGTGTACATGGATTTTATAATGTTGTATGTTTTTCCCCCAACACCACTTTCCATCAATTTGTATAGCAGATCCTCATGCCAAATTGAGTCAAAAGCTTTTTTGAAATCAACAAAGCATGAGAAGACTTTGCCTTTGTTTTGGTTTGTTTGTTTGTCAATTAGGGTGTGCAGGGTGAATACATGGTCTGTTGTACGGTAATTTGGTAAAAAGCCAATTTGATATTTGCTCAGTACATTGTTTTCACTGAGGAAATGAACTAGTCTGCTGTTAATGATAATGCAGAGGATTTTCCCAAGGTTGCTGTTGACGCATATCCCACGCTGGTTTTTGGGGTCAAATTTGTCTCCACTTTTGTGGATTGGGGTGATCAGTCCTTGGTTCCAAATATTGGGAAAGATGCCAGAGCTAAGGATGATGTTAAAGAGTTTAAGTATAGCCAATTGGAATTTGTGGTCTGTATATTTTATCATTTCATTGAGGATACCATCAACACCCTTTTTTGGGTTGGAAGGTTTGTATTTTGTCCTGTAGTTCATTCAATGTAATTGGAGAATCCAGTGGGTTCTGGTAGTCTTTAATAGTTGATTCTAAGATTTGCATTTAATCATGTATATTTTCTTGCTGTTTGTTCTTTGTTATAGGGCCAAAAAGATTGGAGAAGTGGTTTACCCATACATCTCCGTTTTGGATAGATAGCTCTTCGTGTTGTTGTTTGTTTAGTGTTTTCCAATTTTCCCAGAAGTGGTTAGAGTCTATGGATTCTTCAATTACATTGAGCTGATTTCTGATGTGCTGTTCCTTCTTTTTCTGTATTGTTTTAGTGATTCACCATAGTGAAGACGTAGGCTCAGGTATTCTGTGTCTCTATGTTTTTGGTTGGACAGGTTTCTCAATTTCTTTCTTAGGTTTTTGCATTCTTCATCAAACCATTTGTCATTGTTGTTACTTTTCTTCGGTTTAATGTTAGAGATTTTTAGATTTGATAGGGAAGCTGAGAGGTCAAATATACTGTTTAGGTTTTCTACTGCCAAGTTTACACCTTCACTATTACAGTGGAACGTTTTGTCCAGGAACTTTTCTAAAAGGGATTGAATTTGTTGTTGCCTAGTTGTTTTTTGGTAGGTTTCTACACTTAATATTATTCAGTTCCTTTGGCTTTGATGCCTCATGATTGAGTATTGCTCCGTTCAAGTAGACTGTGATTTTGCTGTGGTCTGATAGGGGTGTCAGTGGGCTGACTGTGAACGCTCTGAGAGACTCTGGGTTGAGGTCAGTGATAAAGTAGTCTACAGTACTAGTCTTTACTACTGATTAGCTCAGACTGTGTTTTAAATCCAAGCCTGAGGGAGATCATTATAATTAGTTAGAGCCACAGTGAACTGAGCCTTCCTTCTCTCCTCTCCTCCCTCTCTCCTCTCCTCTCTCCTCTCTCTCTCTCTCTCTCTCCTCTCTCCTCTCTCTCTCTCTCTCTCTCTCTCTCCTCTCTCTCTCTCTCTCTCTCTCTCTCTCTCTCTCCTCTCTCTCCTCTCCTCTCTCTCTCTCCTCCTCTCCTCTCCTCTCCTCTCCTCTCCTCTCCTCTCCTCTCCTCTCCTCTCCTCTCCCTCCCCTCTCCTTTTGCTGTTGGTCTGGAATGACACAAGTGGAATCACATGTTCCATCGCAGGGAGGGAGGGCAGAGGGAGGGAGATGCATTACGACGTGGCTGATCAGAACAGCATGGCTGGGCTGGCAGAGGGCCCGGCTGGTGTCTCGTATCCCTCCACAGAATGAAATAATGCTTCCTGCCTAAGTCCAGTGTAGTATGTAACCACTTGCGGTGTGAATGTGTTGAGTAACAGCAGCAACAAGCTGGGACACAGCAGGTTGTCTGTCTCCAGGGAGAGGAGGCGCACAGGGCTAGAGGGGGGCAGGAGGAGGCAGGAGAGGAGGAGGGGGGGGGGGGGGCAGGAGGAGGCAGGAGAGGGGGAGAGGGGTAGCGGGGGCAGGAGGAGGCAGGAGAGGGGGAGAGGGGGGGCAGGAGGAGGCAGGAGAGGAGGAGGGGGGGGGCAGGAGGAGGCAGGAGAGGAGGAGAGGAGGGGCAGGAGGAGGCAGGAGAGGAGGAGAGGGGGGGCAGGAGGAGGCAGGAGAGGAGGAGGGGAGGGGTAGAAGTGCCGGCTCCCCAAAGAGGGGCTGTCAGACCCCCTAACCCCCCAAAACAAACTGCTTCCTCCCCAAAGAGCAGTTCTCAGACCCCCTAACCCCCCAAAACAAACTGCTTCCTCCCCAAAGAGCAGTTCTCAGACCCCCTAACCCCCCAAAACAAACTGCTTCCTCCCCAAAGAGGGGCTGTCAGACCCCCTAACCCTCCAAAACAAACTGCTTCCTCCCCGAAGAGCAGTTCTCAGTCCCCCTAACCCCCCAAAACAAACTGCTTCCTCCCCAAAGAGCAGTTCTCAGTCCCCCTAACCCCCCAAAACAAACTGCTTCCTCCCCAAAGAGCAGTTCTCAGTCCCCCTAACCCCCCAAAACAAACTGCTTCCTCCCCAAAGAGCAGTTCTCAGTCCCCCTAACCCCCCAAACCAAACTGCTTCCTCCCCAAAGAGCAGTTCTCAGTCCCCCTAACCCCCCAAAATAAACTGCTTCCGATGCAGACAAATAAAACCCAGGGGACAAGAAATGGCACCATATTCCCTATATATTTTTTATTTTTGTATTTCACCTTTATTTAACCAGGTAAGCCAGTTGAGAACAAGTTCTCATTTACAACTGCGACCTGGCCAAGATAAAGCAAAGCAGTGCGATAAAAACAACAACACAGAGTTACATATGGAATAAACAAAATGTACAGTCAATAACACAATAGAAAATCTATATACAGTGTGTGCAAATCTTTATTTTTATTTTATTTCACCTTTATTTAATGTAGTAAGTTATGGAGGTAAGGCAATAAATAGGCCATAGTGCAAAATAATTACAATTTAGTATTAACACTGGAGTGATAGATGTGCAAGAGATGATGTGCAAATAGAGATACTCGGGTGAAAAATAGCAAAATAAATAACAATATAGGGATGAGGTAGTTGGGTGGGCTAATTACAGATGGGCTGTGTACAGGTGCAGTGATCGGTAAGCTGCTCTGACAACTGATGCTTAAAGTTAGTGATGGAGATAAGAGTCTGCAGCTTCAGAGGTTTTTGCAGTTTGTTCCAGTCATTGGCAGCAGAGAACTGGCGGCCAAAGGAGGTGTTGGCTTTGGGGATGACCAGTGAGATATACCTGCTGGAGCACAGACTACAGGGGGGTGTTGCTATGGTGACCAGTGAGCTAAGATAAGGCGGGGATTTGCCTAGAAGTGATTTATAGATGGCCTGGAGCCAGTGGGTTTGGCGACGAATATGTAGTGAGGGCCAGCCAACGAGAGCGTACAGGTCACAATGGTGGGTAGTATATGGGGCTTTGGTGACAAAACGGATGGCACTGTGATAGACTACATCCAATTTGCATGTTTAGCAGCATGAGTGAAGGAGGCTTTGTTGCGAAATAGGAAGCCGATTCTAGATTTAACTTTGGATTGAAAATGCTTAATGTGAGTCTGAATGGAGAGTTTACAGTCTAACCAGACACCTAGGTATTTGTAGTTGTCCACATACTCTAGGTCAGACCCGCCAAGAGTAGTGATTCTAGTCGGGTGGGCGGGTGCAAGCAGCGTTCGGTTGAAGAGCATTCATTTAGTTTTACTAGTGTTTAAGAGCAGTTGGAGGCTACGGAAGGAGTGTTGTATGGCATTGAAGCTTGTTTGGAGGTTTGTTAACACAGTGTCCAATGAAGGGCCAGATGTATACAAAATGGTGTCGTCTGCGTAGAGGTGGATCTGAGAGTCACCAGCAGCAAGAGCGACGTCATTGACATACACAGAGAATAGAGTCGCCCTATATAGTGTACTACGGTCTAAAGTAGTGCACTATATAGGGAATAGGGTGCCATTCTCTGGTCTAAAGTAGTGCACTATATAGGGAATAGGGTGCCATTCTCTGGTCTAAAGTAGTGCACTATATAGGGAATAGGATGCCATTCTCTGGTCTAAAGTAGTGCACTATATAGGGAATAGGGTGCCATTCTCTGGTCTAAAGTAGTGCACTATATAGGGAATAGGGTGCCATTCTCTGGTCTAAAGTAGTGCACTATATAGGGAATAGGGTGCCATTCTCTGGTCTAAAGTAGTGCACTATATAGGGAATAGGGTGCCATTCTCTGGTCTAAAGTAGTGCACTATATAGGGAATAGGGTGCCATTCTCTGGTCTAAAGTAGTGCACTATATAGGGAATAGGGTGCCATTCTCTGGTCTAAAGTAGTGCACTATATAGGGAATAGGGTACCATTCTCTGGTCTAAAGTAGTGCACTATATAGGGAATAGGGTGCCATTTGGAAAAACCCAGGCCTTTAGGAAGGGGCTCTCTCTGTCTGCCACCGGATTGTTGGTCCGGTGTCACAGAGCAGTGTGGTCCCATAAACGTTATGGCACCGGGAACGGACCGTCCATCAGACATGGGTAAGTGTAGTGAATGTTTCCATTCCCTGTGACTTTGTGACCCACACCTGAGATGACCTGGCCAAGCCACGAAAGCTACATATCAGGATATAGTATATTACCTCAGTGACACAGAAGTCCTGAGGACTGAGGAGCTGTAGAGCTACTAAGACATAGAGGCATGGCAGTTAGAACCAGTGAGGACTGAGGAGCTGTAGCTACTAAGACATAGAGGCATGGCAGTTAGAACCAGTGAGGACTGAGGAGCTGTAGCTACTAAGACATAGAGGCATGGCAGTTAGACCCAGTGAGGACTGAGGAGCTGTAGCTACTAAGACATAGAGGCATGGCAGTTAGAACCAGTGAGGACTGAGGAGCTGTAGCTACTAAGATATAGAGGCGTGGCAGTTAGAACCAGTGAGGACTGAGGAGCTGTAGCTACTAAGACATAGAGGCGTGGCAGTTAGAACCAGTGAGGACTGAGGAGCTGTAGCTACTAAGACATAGAGGCATGGCAGTTAGAACCAGTGAGGACTGAGGAGCTGTAGCTACTAAGACATAGAGGCATGGCAGTTAGAACCAGTGAGGACTGAGGAGCTGTAGCTACTAAGACATAGAGGCATGGCAGTTAGAACCAGTGAGGACTGAGGAGCTGTAGCTACTAAGACATAGAGGCATGGCAGTTAGAACCAGTGAGGACTGAGGAGCTGTAGCTACTAAGACATAGAGGCATGGCAGTTAGAACCAGTGAGGACTGAGGAGCTGTAGCTACTAAGACATAGAGGCATGGCAGTTAGAACCAGTGAGGACTGAGGAGCTGTAGCTACTAAGACATAGAGGCATGGCAGTTAGAACCAGTGAGGACTGAGGAGCTGTAGCTACTAAGACATAGAGGCGTGGCAGTTAGAACCAGTGAGGACTGAGGAGCTGTAGCTACTAAGACATAGAGGCGTGGCAGTTAGAACCAGTGAGGACTGAGGAGCTGTAGCTACTAAGACATAGAGGCATGGCAGTTAGAACCAGTGAGGACTGAGGAGCTGTAGCTACTAAGACATAGAGGCATGGCAGTTAGAACCAGTGAGGACTGAGGAGCTGTAGCTACTAAGACATAGAGGCATGGCAGTTAGAACCAGTGAGGACTGAGGAGCTGTAGCTACTAAGACATAGAGGCATGGCAGTTAGAACCAGTGAGGACTGAGGAGCTGTAGCTACTAAGACATAGAGGCATGGCAGTTAGAACCAGTGAGGACTGAGGAGCTGTAGCTACTAAGACATAGAGGCATGGCAGTTAGAACCAGTGAGGACTGAGGAGCTGTAGCTACTAAGACATAGAGGCATGGCAGTTAGAACCAGTGAGGACTGAGGAGCTGTAGCTACTAAGACATAGAGGCATGGCAGTTAGAACCAGTGAGGACTGAGGAGCTGTAGCTACTAAGACATAGAGGCATGGCAGTTAGAACCAGTGAGGACTGAGGAGCTGTAGCTACTAAGACATAGAGGCATGGCAGTTAGAACCAGTGAGGACTGAGGAGCTGTAGCTACTAAGACATAGAGGCATGGCAGTTAGAACCAGTGAGGACTGAGGAGATGTAGCTACTAAGACATAGAGGCATGGCAGTTAGAACCAGTGAGGACTGAGGAGCTGTAGCTACTAAGACATAGAGGCATGGCAGTTAGAACCAGTGAGGACTGAGGAGCTGTAGCTACTAAGACATAGAGGCATGGCAGTTAGAACCAGTGAGGACTGAGGAGCTGTAGCTACTAAGACATAGAGGCATGGCAGTTAGAACCAGTGAGGACTGAGGAGCTGTAGCTACTAAGACATAGAGGCATGGCAGTTAGAACCAGTGAGGACTGAGGGCTATAATAATAATAATACACCATTTAGTAGGTGCTTATCTGACTGATAGACTGACTGACTAATAGACTGACTGACTGATAGACTGGCTGGCTGGCTGACCGACTGACTGACTGCAAGGCCATTATTTAGCTTACAGGAAATTGTATTTTCTTTTGAATTAGAATTAAGTATTTTAGAGCTGATTGAAGCACTATAATGCAGTGCACTTATGTAGAATCAGATGTGAATGGTTGCCAACCTTGTTAAGCAACAGACTGTGACTACATTGACATTTTAGTCATTTAGCAGACACTCTTATCCAGAGCGACTTACAGTTAGTGAGTGCATACATTATTATTTTTATTTTATAAAAAAATTTCATACTGGTCCCCCGTTGGAATCGAACCCACAATCCTGGCGTTGCAAACGCCATGCTCTACCAACTGAGCTACATCCCTGCCGGCCATTCCCTCCCCTACCCTGGACGACGCTGGGCCAATTGTGCGCCGCCCCATGGGTCTCCCGGTCACGGCCGGCTACGACAGAGCCTGGATTCGAACCAGGATCTCCAGTAGCACAGCGATGCCTTAGACCACTGCGCCACTCGGGAGTCATACCAGTAGAGGAGACTGTGAGCATACACCACTGACACATCAGTTTAAAGGAGGAATCAGCAGTAGAAACAATACCAAAACGTTGTCCCCACCCCTGTTTTGGTAAAAAGCTGCAGGATGGGCCTGGAGAAATGTAACCTCTCTCAAATTCATAGACAGCTATGGATGCAAGGACTGACCATCCATGATATCAACATTATAGTTTTAACCAGGTTTTGAGGATATATAGTGGGGGTTTTTTTAGGCTACATTTACTTTGTTTACAAACATTGGAGTAAAACACGCGTATATGTTGTGTTCTGATTGGGGAGGACAGCTGGTCTTACTAACACTGACTTTGCCGACAGCTGCTTTGTTGAGAAGAGTTGTACTGACTGTGACCGTGATATGGTTGGACTGACTGTGACCGTGATATGGTTGTCCTGACTGTGACCGTGATATGGTTGTACTGACTGTGACCGTGATATGGTTGTACTGACTGTGACCGTGATATGGTTGGACTGACTGTGACCGTGATATGGTTGTACTGACTGTGACCGTGATATGGTTGGACTGACTGTGACCGTGATATGGTTGTCCTGACTGTGACCGTGATATGGTTGTACTGACTGTGACCGTGATATGGTTGTACTGACTGTGACCGTGATATGGTTGTCCTGACTGTGACCGTGATATGGTTGTACTGACTGTGACCGTGATATGGTTGGACTGACTGTGACCGTGATATAGTTGGACTGACTGTGACCGTGATATGGTTGTCCTGACTGTGACCGTGATATGGTTGTACTGACTGTGACCGTGATATGGTTGGACTGACTGTGACCGTGATATGGTTTGGACTGACTGTGACCGTGATATGGTTGGGACTGACTGTGACCGTGATTATGGTTGTCCTGACTGTGACCGTGATAGGTTGGACTGACTGTGAACCGTGATATGGTTGCACTGACTGTGACCGGTGATATGGTTGTACTGACTGTGACCGTGATATGGTTGTCCTGACTGTGACCGTGATATGGTTGGACTGACTGTGACCGTGATATGGTTGTGCCTGACTGTGACCGTGATATGGTTGGTCCTGACTGTGACCGTGATATGGTTGGACTGACCGTGACCGTGATATGGTTGGACTGACTGTGACCGTGATATGGTTGTCCTGACTGTGACCGTGATATGTTTGTCCTGACTGTGACCGTGATATGGTTTGTCCTGACTGTGACCGTGATATGGTTTGTCCTGACCCGTGACCGTGATATGGTTGTCCTGACTGTGACCGTGATATGGTTGTCCTGACTGTGACCGTGATATGGTTGTGACTTACCGTTGATATGGTTGTCCTGACTGGACCGTGATAATGGGTTGTCCTGACTGTGACCCGTGATATGGTTGGACTGACTGTGACCGTGATATGGTTGTCCTGACTGTACCGTGCTATTGTGTCCTGACTGTGACCGTGATATGTTTGTCCTGACTGTGACGGATATGTTGGACTGACGTGACCGTGATATGTTGGACTGACTGTGACCGGGATATGGTTGGACTGACTGTGACCGTGATATGGTTGTCTACGTGACCGTGATATGGTTTGTCCTGACTGTGACCGTGAGATGTTTGTCCTGACGTGGACCGTGATACGATGGTTGTTCCTTACTGTGACCCGTGATATGGTTGTCCTGAAACGTGACCGTGATATGGTTGTCCTGACTGTGACCTGTGATATGGTTGTCCTGATGTGAACCGTGAATATGTTGTCCTGACCGTGACCGTGATATTGGTTTCCTACTGTGACCGTGATATGGTTTGTCCTTAACTGTGACCGTGATATGGTTGTCCTTAACTGTGACCGTGATATGGTTGTCCTGACTGGGACCCGTGAAATGTGTCTGACTGTGACCCGTGATATGGTTGGACTGACTGTGACCGTGATATGGTTGTCCTGACTGTGACCGTGATATGGTTGTCCTGACTGTGACCGTGATATGGTTGTCCTGACTGTGACCGTGATATGGTTGTCCTGACTGTGACCGTGATATGGTTGGACTGACTGTGACCGTGATATGGTTGTCCTGACTGTGACCGTGATATGGTTGTCCTGACTGTGACCGTGATATGGTTGTCCTGACTGTGACCGTGATATGGTTGTCCTGACTGTGACCGTGATATGGTTGTCCTGACTGTGAACGTGATATGGTTGTCCCCATCTAGCTTGCTTAAGATGAATAAACTCATGTAAGTGACTCTGGATAAGAGCGTCTGCTAAATGAATAAAAGGTCAAAGGTCAAAGGTAAAGCCTGAATACTCTTTCTAATATCAGTTCTGCTGACCTGGTACATAGGAGCAGTATGACATCATTATGTACCAACGCTGTCAGGACTGATGATCCTACGTGATAGGGGGCAGAACCACATGATATTCATCATCATCATCAAAGCTTTGTATTTAGAATCGGTTAACGGGTAGTGGTACAATTAAACCAATGCAATAGTCCCAAAAGTGCAAATTCCAAGCTAACAGCTAAATGAAGCACACCTAAAGCACATTCAAGCCCCTGGGCTGTCTGGGAGAGGGGACTGGGAGAGACAACACTGTGTTGAGGCCCCTGGGCTGTCTGGTAGAGGGGCTGGGAGAGACAACACTGTGTTGAGGCCCCTGGGCTGTCTGGAAGAGGGGCTGGGAGAGACAACACTGTGTTGAGGCCCCTGGGCTGTCTGGGAGAGGGGCTGGGAGAGACAACACTGTGTTGAGGCCCCTGGGCTGTCTGGGAGAGGGACTGGGAGAGACAACACTGTGTTGAGGCCCCTGGGCTGTCTGGGAGAGGGGCTGGGAGAGACAACACTGTGTTGAGGCCCCTGGGCTGTCTGGGAGAGGGGCTGGGAGAGACAACACTGTGTTGAGGCCTCTGGGCTGTCTGGGAGAGGGGCTGGGACTGGGAGAGACAACACTGTGTTGAGGCCCCTGGGCTGTCTGGTAGAGGGGCTGGGAGAGACAACACTGTGTTGAGGCCCCTGGGCTGTCTGGGAGAGGGGCTGGGAGAGACAACACTGTGTTGAGGCCCCTGGGCTGTCTGGAAGAGGGGCTGGGAGAGACAACACTGTGTTGAGGCCCCTGGGCTGTCTGGGAGAGGGGCTGGGAGAGACAACACTGTGTTGAGGCCCCTTGGCTGTCTGGGAGAGGGGACTGGGAGAGACAACACTGTGTTGAGGCCCCTGGGCTGTCTGGGAGAGGGACTGGGAGAGACAACACTGTGTTGAGGCCCCTTGGCTGTCTGGGAGAGGGGACTGGGAGAGACAACACTGTGTTGAGGCCCCTGGGCTGTCTGGGAGAGGGACTGGGAGAGACAACACTGTGTTGAGGCCCCTGGGCTGTCTGGGAGAGGGGCTGGGAGAGACAACACTGTGTTGAGGCCCCTGGGCTGTCTGGGAGGGGCTGGGAGAGACAACACTGTGTTGAGGCCCCTTGGCTGTCTGGGAGAGACAACACTACTGGGGTCTTGATAATTACATTTACATTTATGTCATTTAGCAGACGCTCTTATCCAGAGCGATTTACAAATTGGTGCATTCACCTTATAGCCAGTGGGATAACCACTTTACTTTTTTTTTGGGGGGGGGGGGGGGGGGGGGGGGGGGTAGAAGGATTACTTTATCCTATCCCAGGTGTTCCTTAAAGAGGTGGGGTTTCAAATGTCTCCAGAAGGTGGTGAGTGACTCCGCTGTCCTGGCGTCGTGAGGGAGCTTGTTCCACCATTGGGGTGCCAGAGCAGCGAACAGTTTTGACTGGGCTGAGTGGGAACTGTGCTTCAGCAATAATAATGAATTGAATGAAATGAAACCCACTAGACCAGATGTTCCCAAACTTTTTCACTCGGGGCCCCCTCCTCCAGCATTGGGGAACATCCCGTGCCCCCCCCCCCCACACGTGCACATGCGCCACGTCTGTTTCTATGGGGACAAGCACTGTTCATGATACAAACTGTTCACACCCCTCTTGTTGGTGGAGAGAATTTTGCAGGTTTAAAGCTTATTTCCTGCCATTCTACAAATGTTGTGATGGGGTGCAAAGACAATTTTGCAGTTTGAAAGCAAATTTTCTTGCAGACCTATACATTTTGCCATGTCTAATGTGTATTCCTGTGATATTTAGTCCTGTGTGTCTCACTTGGTAGAGCATGGCAATTGCAACGCCAGGATTGTGGGTTCGATTCCCACGGGGGACCAGCGTGAAAACGTATGCGCTCACTACTGTAAGTCGCTCTGGATAAGAGCGTCTGCTAAAATGTTTTTTAAAAAAAATAGTGGTTGAGTGACTAGTAAATGACAACAATGTATACGGGCTAAAGAAAACATAAGCTGACATGGGCTAGTATATCTGGACATTTCTGACAAGTTATAAATAGCTCTCTAAGGTCTGAAATGACTAACATGACAATAGGAACTGTTGATGCGCTACCCAATTTAGAAATTGCACCTTGTGCATTCTACTATTACAACTTTCAAGAGTACGTTTAAAGGCAGACTGAAATAACTAAAATAAATGTAAATATTTGAAGACAGATTGTATGACTTTGTGGCTGTGCCAGCTAGTGACCACTGCAGAGCTGCCTAAAGAATAGGATGAATGATGAAAAACACTGACCTGCGTTGACATGACCCCGTCTGGATCCCCAATGGCCCCTGGTCTAAACTAGTGCACTGTATAGGGAATAGGGTGCCATTCTCTGGTCAACAGTAGTGCACTATATAGGGAATAGGGTGCCATTCTCTGGTCTAAACTAGTGCACTATATAGGGAATAGGGTGTCATTCTCTGGTCTAAACTAGTGCACTATATAGGGAATTGGGTGCCATTCTCTGGTCTAAAGTAGTGCACTATATAGGGAATAGGGTGCCATTCTCTGGTCTAAACTAGTGCACTATATAGGGAATAGGGTGTCATTCTCTGGTCTAAAGTAGTGCACTATATAGGGAATAGGGTGCCATTCTCTGGTCTAAAGTAGTGCACTATATAGGGAATAGGGTACCATTCTCTGGTCTAAACTAGTGCACTATATAGGGAATAGGGTGCCATTCTCTGGTCTAAACTAGTGCACTATATAGGGAATAGGGTGCCATTCTCTGGTCTAAAGTAGTGCACTATATAGGGAATAGGGTGCCATTCTCTGGTCTAAACTAGTGCACTATATAGGGAAAAGGGTGCCATTCTCTGGTCTAAAGTAGTGCACTATATAGGGAATAGGGTGCCATTTGGGATGCAGACCATGTTCCTTCCTTGTCCGCTGTAGAGAGGCTTTGTAAAGGAGGTATTGTAAAGGAGGTACTGTAAAGGAGGTATTGTAAAGGAGGTATTGTAAAGGAGGTATTGTAAAGGAGGTATTGTAAAGGAGGTATTGTAAAGGAGGTACTGTAAAGGAGGTACTGTAAATTAGGTATTGTAAAGGAGGTATTGTAAAGGAGGTATTGTAAAGGAGGTATTGTAAAGGAGTTATTGTAAAGGAGGTATTGTAAAGGAGGTACTGTAAAGGAGGTACTGTAAAGGAGGTACTGTAAAGGAGGTATTGTAAAGGAGGTATTGTAAATGAGGTATTGTAAAGGAGGTATTGTAAAGGAGGTATTGTAAAGGAGGTATTGTAAAGGAGGTATTGTAAAGGAGGTACTGTAAAGGAGGTACTGTAAAGGAGGTATTGTAAAGGAGGTATTGTAAAGGAGGTACTGTAAAGTAGGTATTGTAAAGGAGGTACTGTAAAGGAGGTACTGTAAAGGAGGTATTGTAAAGGAGGTATTGTAAAGGAGGTATTGTAAAGGAGGTATTGTAAAGGAGGTATTGTAAAGGAGGTATTGTAAAGGAGGTATTGTAAAGGAGGTACTGTAAAGGAGGTATTGTAAAGGAGGTATTGTAAAGGAGGTATTGTAAAGGAGGTATTGTAAAGGAGGTACTGTAAAGGAGGTATTGTGTGTCTAGAAGGGATCTCTCAGTTGTCTGCTGTGACATATAAACAGTCTAAATGTCAAATAGCCAATAGGATCTTGACCGCCCCCGCGCGTCCCTCCGTGGTTGGTTAGTAGGGTCGTCACGCCCACTTTCTCCTGCCTGTCACCCAGTGACAGGGGTCTCACAGCAAATGTCACGGCAACCGTGGAAACAATACACAATGGCCTTGAGGACATGCCCTCCTATTAGCGGTGGAGTCAAAGGCTGGTACCATTACGTAGTCTGACACACGCTCACACACCGCCTGGTACACAATCCCCAACACAGGAGCTACCCCCCCCCTCCCCCCCCCCCCACCACCCACCACCCCACACACTCTGACGGGTCAGGCTCCAACACAGGAGCTCGCCCCCCCCCCCACCCCACCGCCCCCACACACACACACTGTTCCGCAGAAAGTCCTCCAGTGAACACACACACACCATTACGTGGTCTGACACACACACTGATCAGGTGATGAGCGCCAGCAACACAGGGACTCGTCTCCACCACACTCACACCCCATTTATGGAAAGTTATCCGCTGACGTCCAGGGAACCCACGCTAGCACCCCGGCTGGCTGGTTAACTAAAGTCACAGGCTCCGCATTCTGTCTCCAGAAATAGTGCTGCATCGCCTTGAATGTTCAAAGGCCACAGGCATATGATGTTATGGCAACGCATGCAGGGGGTTATGGTGGGCCATACACACTACACACACACCTTCCTCCTACCCTGCTCCATCCGGTTTAGACAAGCCCAAACCAGCAGCTGACACAGACAGACAGACAGACAGACAGACAGACAGACAGACAGACAGACAGACAGACAGACAGACAGACAGACAGACAGACAGGCAGGCAGGCAGGCAGGCACGTAGACAGACAGACAGACAGACAGACAGACAGACAGACAGGCAGGCAGGCAGGCAGGCAGGCAGGCAGGCAGGCAGGCAGGCAGGCAGGCAGGCAGGCAGGCAGGCAGGCAGGCAGGCAGGCAGGCAGGCAGACAGACAGACAGACAGACAGACAGACAGACAGACAGACAGACAGACAGACAGACAGACAGACAGACAGACAGACAGACAGACAGACAGACAGACAGACATATACATATATACAGGATACAGGCCTCAACCCTCATTAGATACTATCAAATGAAATCAAATTTTATTTGTCACATGCGCCGAATACAACAGGTGTAGTAGACCTTACCGTGAAAATGCTTACTTACAAGCCCTTAACCAACAAAGCAGTTTTAAGAAAATAGAGTTAAGAAAATATTTACTAAATAAACTAGAGTAGAAAATTAAAAAAAGTAACACAATAAAATAACAATAATGAGGCTATATACAGGGGGTACCGGTACCGAGTCAATGTGTGGGGTACAGGTTAGTCAAGGTAATTTGTACATGTAGGTAGGGGTAAAGTGACTATGCATAGATAATAAACAGTGAGTAGCAGCAGTGTAAAAACAAAGGGGGGGGTCAATGCAAATGGCAGGAAGCTTGGCCCCAGTGATGCACTGGACCGTACGCACTACCCTCTGTACTGCCTTGAGGTCGGAGGCCGAGCAGTTGCCATACCAGGCGTGATGCAACCGGTCAGGATGCTCTCGACGGTGCAGCTGTAGAACTACGCCCCTGCTGGCTGGGATTCAGACACACTACAAATACCACTACAGCCACTGTCCTCTCCAGACATCTGATAACCAACATAGATGTGTCACAACGGGGAACACTGAGTTCCAAATTGAACCCTATTACCTTTGAGCCCATGTCGAAAGTCATACACTAGATATGGAAAAGAGTGGCATTTGGGACACATTTAGTCCTAATTAAAAACCCCAGTGTGAGTCACTGTCATATGGCCACTGTGCTGTCATAATATTATAGCAGTATGGCTGAAGCATGGACAGCATGGTGCTGGGAGGCGGTACACTGTGCTGTCATAATATTATAGCAGTATGGCTGAAGCATGGACAGCATGGTGCTGGGAGGCGGTACACTGTGCTGTCATAATATTATAGCAGTATGGCTGAAGCATGGACAGCATGGTGCTGGGAGGTGGTACACTGTGCTGCCATAATATTATAGCAGTATGGCTGAAGCATGGACAGCATGGTGCTGGGAGGCGGTACACTGTGCTGTCATAATATTATAGCAGTACGGCTGAAGCATGGACAGCATGGTGCTGGGAGGCGGTACACTGTGCTGTCATAATATTATAGCAGTACGGCTGAAGCATGGACAGCATGGTGCTGGGAGGCGGTACACTGTGCTGTCATAATATTATAGCAGTATGGCTGAAGCATGGACAGCATGGTGCTGGGAGGCGGTACACTGCTGTCATAATATTATAGCAGTATGGCTGAAACATGGACAGCATGGTGCTGGGAGGCGGTACACTGTGCTGTCATAATATTATAGCAGTATGGCTGAAGCATGGACAGCATGGTGCTGGGAGGCGGTACACTGTGCTGTCATAATATTATAGCAGTACGGCTGAAACATGGACAGCATGGTGCTGGGAGGCGGTACACTGTGCTGTCATAATATTATAGCAGTACGGCTGAAGCATGGACAGCATGGTGCTGGGAGGCGGTACACTGTGCTGTCATAATATTATAGCAGTATGGCTGAAGCATGGACAGCATGGTGCTGGGAGGCGGTACACTGTGCTGTCATAATATTATAGCAGTATGGCTGAAGCATGGACAGCATGGTGCTGGGAGGCGGTACACTGTGCTGTCATAATATTATAGCAGTATGGCTGAAGCATGGACAGCATGGTGCTGGGAGGCGGTACACTGTGCTGTCATAATATTATAGCAGTATGGCTGAAGCATGGACAGCATGGTGCTGGGAGGCGGTACACTGTGCTGTCATAATATTATAACAGTATGGCTGAAGCATGGACAGCATGGTGCTGGGAGGCGGTACACTGTGCTGTCATAATATTATAGCAGTATGGCTGAAGCATGGACAGCATGGTGCTGGGAGGCGGTACACTGTGCTGTCATAATATTATAGCAGTATGGCTGAAGCATGGACAGCATGGTGCTGGGAGGCGGTACACTGTGCTGTCATAATATTATAGCAGTATGGCTGAAGCATGGACAGCATGGTGCTGGGAGGCGGTACACTGTGCTGTCATAATATTATAGCAGTATGGCTGAAGCATGGACAGCATGGTGCTGGGAGGCGGTACACTGTGCTGTCATAATATTATAGCAGTATGGCTGAAGCATGGACAGCATGGTGCTGGGAGGCGGTACACTGTGCTGTCATAATATTATAGCAGTATGGCTGAAGCATGGACAGCATGGTGCTGGGAGGCGGTACACTGTGCTGTCATAATATTATAGCAGTATGGCTGAAGCATGGACAGCATGGTGCTGGGAGGCGGTACACTGTGCTGTCATAATATTATAGCAGTACGGCTGAAGCATGGACAGCATGGTGCTGGGAGGCGGTACACTGTGCTGTCATAATATTATAGCAGTACGGCTGAAGCATGGACAGCATGGTGCTGGGAGGCGGTACACTGTGCTGTCATAATATTATAGCAGTACGGCTGAAGCATGGACAGCATGGTGCTGGGAGGCGGTACACTGTGCTGTCATAATATTATAGCAGTACGGCTGAAGCATGGACAGCATGGTGCTGGGAGGCGGTACACTGTGCTGTCATAATATTATAGCAGTACGGCTGAAGCATGGACAGCATGGTGCTGGGAGGCGGTACACTGTGCTGTCATAATATTATAGCAGTATGGCAGTATATCAGAGGCAAACTCGTTCTAATACTTGAGATGTGCTTTATTTAGCCCCGTACAATGCAACCAATGGAATAGCTCCAAAAAAGGGCTCAAAGCTATATCAAGCACACCTGACTCAAGTAAAAAATATTTCCATGATTTGTCGTATTTGAGCCATCCAGGTCTAAGTTAAAGGTAGTGGATAGTCATTATCACACTGTACTACTACTACTAGTCATTATCATACTGTACTACTAGTCATTATCACACTGTACTACTACTACTAGTCATTATCATACTGTACTACTACTACTACTAGTCATTATCACACTGTACTACTACTACTACTAGTCGTTATTATACTGTACTACTACTACTACTAGTCATTATCATACTGTACTACTACTACTAGTCATTATCACACTGTACTACTACTACTAGTCATTATCACACTGTACTACTACTACTAGTCATTATCATGCTGTACTACTACTACTAGTCATTATCACACTGTACTACTACTACTAGTCATTATCATGCTGTACTACTACTACTAGTCATTATCACACTGTACTACTACTACTAGTCATTATCATACTGTACTACTACTACTAGTCATTATCATGCTGTACTACTACTACTAGTCATTATCATACTGTACTACTACTACTAGTCATTATCATACTGTACTACTACTACTAGTCATTATCACACTGTACTACTACTACTAGTCATTATCATACTGTACTACTACTACTAGTCATTATCATACTGTACTACTAGTCATTATCATACTGTACTACTACTACTAGTCATTATCATACTGTACTACTAGTCATTATCATACTGTACTACTACTACTAGTCATTATCACACTGTACTACTACTACTAGTCATTATTGTACTGTACTTCTAGTAAATAGTTGTTGTACTGTACTACTACTAAATAGTCATTATTGTAATGTACTTCCAGTAAATAGTCATTATTGTACTATATACTATATACTACTACTAAATAGTCATTACTATACTGTACTACTACTACTAGTAATTATTGTACTGTAATTATACTGAATAGTCATTATTGTAATGTACTACTACTAAATAGTCACCAGTGCACTGCGCTACTACTAAATAGTCATTATGTTACTGTACTTATACTAAATAGTCATTATTGTTCTGTACTACTACTTAATACTCATTATTTTACTGTACTACTACCAAATAGTCATTATTTTACTGTACTTCTACTACATAGTCATTATTGTTCTGTACTTCTACTAAATAGTCATTATTTTACTGTACTTCTACTAAATAGTCATTATTATTCTGGACTTACATATGCAGATGGTGGAGAGAAGCCTGGTGGCCAGGTATGGGGGAACACAGTTCTGGAAGGCCGGCTGCAGCACATAGTTGGAGAAGGTGAGAGCTATGACAGCCAGGGTGGTGGGGTACATGATGAGAACCGCACTCCATAGGAGCAGGAACCTACAGGGAGACAACAGGGGTACATGATGAGAACCGCACTCCATAGGAGCAGGAACCTACAGGGAGACAACAGGGGTACATGATGAGAACCGCACTCCATAGGAGCAGGAACCTACAGGGAGACAACAGGGGTACATGATGAGAACCGCACTCCATAGGAGCAGGAACCTACAGGGAGACAACAGGGGTACATGATGAGAACCGCACTCCATAGGAGCAGGAACCTACAGGGAGACAACAGGGGTACATGATGAGAACCGCACTCCATAGGAGCAGGAACCTACAGGGAGACAACAGAAAGAATAGATACAGTTGAAGTCAGACGTTTACATACACTTAGGTCGGAGTCATTAAAACTCATTTTTCAACCACTCCACAAATGTATTTTTTATTTATTTTTTATTTATTTTTTTCGGGGGGATGGATCAGCTTAATATTGCAGATAGATTGTATCTTCTATCAATGTAATTGTCTGCATCACTTCCAATCCCCCATGTTTTTTTGTTTTTTTTATATATATATTCCCCTTTATTACTTTTCAACCCCACCATCCTTTCCCTACTTGGAGTAAATTAGTGAACAACAACGCCCAGGCCTCTACTTCCGGTCTATACTTACTATCTACACCTTATGGACAGAGTTAATTTTACAATAATTCTATATCTATATATATATAAAAAAATATATATTTATTTATTTTTTTGCTCCTGAACTTCTTCTACTCTCAACCTCTCCGATCATTTTCATGATGTCCATCCGGTTTGCTTCTAAATGCCATATCTTTCTAACTGTGCTCTTTCCCAAAAGCTCCCAACATACAACCTATATACTTATTATGGACACAGTATGCTTACATTATTAGCTATCTTTGTTATTATTTGTTGTTATTTGTTATTAGTCCCATCCTTCATCCACAAATGTATTGTTAACAAACTATATTTTTGGCAAGTTGGTCGGGACATCTACTTTGTGCATGACACAAGTAATTTTTCCAACAATTGTTTACAGACAGATGATTTCACTTATAATTCACTGTATCACAATTCCAGTGGGTCAGAAGTTTACATACACTAAGTTGACTGTGCCTTTAAACAGCTTGGAAAATTCCAGAAAATGATGTCATGGCTTTAGAAGCTTCTGATAGGCTAATTGACATAATTTGAGTCAATTGGAGGTGTACCTGTGGATGTATTTCAAGGCCTACCTTCAAACTCAGTGCCTCCTTGCTTGACATCATGGGAAAATCAAAAGAAATCAGCCAAGACCTCAGAAAAAAAATGGTAGACCTCCACAAGTCTGGTATAAACACCATAGGACCACGCAGCCGACATACCGCTCAGGAAGGAGATGCGTTCTGTCTCCTAGAGATGAACGTACTTTGGTGCGAAAAGTGCAAATCAATCCCAGAACAACAGCAAATGACCTTGTGAAGATGCTGGAGTAAACAGGTACAAAAGTATCTATATCCACAGTAAAACAAGTCATATATTGACATAACCTGAAAGGCCGCTCAGCAAGGAAGAAGCCACTGCTCCAAAACCACCATAACAAAGACAGACTATGGTTTGCAACTGCACATGGGGACAAAGATCGTACTTTTTGGAGTAATGTCCTCTGGTCTGATGAAACAAAAATAGAACTGTTTGGCCATAATGACCATCGTCATGTTTGGAGGAAAAAGGGGGTAGCTTGCAAGCCGAAGAACACCATCCCAACTGTGAAGCACGGGGGTGGCAGCATCATGCTGTGGGGGTGCTTTGCTGCAGGAGGGACTGGTGCACTTCACAAAATAGATGGCATCATGAGGAAGGAAAGTTATGTGGATATATTGAAGCAGCATCTCAAGACATCAGTCAGGAAGTTAAAGCTTGGTCGCAAATGGGTCTTCCAAATGGACAATGACCCCAACCATACTTCCAAAGTTGTGGCAAAATGGCTTAAGGACAACAAAGTCAAGGTATTGGAGTGGCCATCACAAAGCCCTGACCTCAATCCTATAGAAAATGTGTGGGCAGAACTGAAAAAGCAAGGAGGCCTACAAACCTGACTCAGTTACACCCGTTCTGTCAGGAGGAATGGGTCAAAATTTACCCAACTTATTGTGGGAAGCTTGTGGAAGGCTACCCAAAACATTTGACCCAAGTTAAACAATTTAAAGGCAATGCTAACAAATACTAATCGAGTGTATGTAAACTTCTGACCCACTGGGAATGTGATGAAAGAAATAAAAGCTGAAATAAATAATTCTCTCTACTATTATTGTGACATTTCACATTCTTAAAATAAAGTGGTGATCCTAACTGACCTAAGACAGGGAATTTTTACTAGGATTAAATGTCAGGAATTGTGAAAAGCTGAGTTTAAATGTATTTGGCTAAGGTGTACGTAAACTTCCGACTTCAACTATACTCTTATACTATATATACCTTATACTGTATGTAGACAGCCTGGGTGTACACGGTCAGAATACGCATAGACTGTAGACTGTACACTGTTTATAATGTATGGCATCTGTGGAGAGTGCATGGCAAACTATTTGACCTTTTCATGAACTCCGGGAGTCTCCTTGCCTCGGAGACCTAAGGGACATCTCTCTGTGGACTAAGAGTCTCACTTGAAATGAGTGTCATGGGACTATCAGTACAATTTTATATCTAATCCACTTACACAGTAAACACAGCATTACTGGTGCCCATGTAGAGAGGAGTGAAGGAAGGACCAGGATCTGTGGCCGTATTCATACAGAGTCGGAGTATTGATCTAAGATCTTTTTTTTTTTTAGATCATAATGAGGAAGATTACATGCACACAGGGGACTTGATCCTAGATCAGCACTTGAAGGGTTTAATTACAAAATGCAATAAACTCACTTTTTTTTTTGCATTTACATTTTTTTCAACTGAAATGAATGATCATGTGTATACACCTTCCTATGTGTATGAATTATGGCTGTTATCAAACTTTTTAAAACATTTACTTTAGATGTGCTTTTGAATGTGTTTTTATTTTTATTTTTTCGCAAAACGCATTATATCCAGAGCCATGTGTTTATAGAGAGTTGGGACATTGAGGTTTCTGCTTTATGATGCATTTAATAACATTCTATGGCAGCCATTTTAGCTCCCGTTAACAGAATGAGCATCATGATGCATTTAGTCTACATGACACCTCAATATTCTATGGCAGCCATTTAAGCACCCCATTACATTACATGAGGAATAAAAATACATTTTAAAAAAGCTATGTAACTGAATGTCTAGAATTAGAACAATAATGACAATTCTAAAATTCAACTTTGGCTATATCTATAACGTTCTATATAGTTCTGCCAGATGCGGTGATAGATAGCTCCCACTGGGCACAGATGACAGTTGAACATCTAGTTTTGATTTACGTTTTTTGTTGAGTTGTCAACTAACATGAATTCAACGTGAAATCAACAACAAATGTCACCATGTCATTGGATTTATGTTAAAAGTTGGGTGAAAAAAAAAGACGAAATGCCCTTACGTTGACGAGTTTTTGCAAATCCAATCAGTTTTCCACAGTTGATTCAACGTCAACATTTTTTGCCCAGTTGGCTGTCACCCTCAGCTAGTGGCGCACTGTCTAATTAGCATTACGTTAGCTTTGAGCTCTTGAGTGTCATGGACCTCTTGATTACTTTGGATCTCTTTCCACAGTTTGGAGCCTGTGATATCTGGTCCTGTTGGAGCCTGTGATATCTGGTCCTGTTGGAGCCAGTGATATCTGTTCCTGTTGGAGCCTGTGATATCTGTTCCTGTTGGAGCCTGTGATATCTGTTCCTGTTGGAGCCTGTGATATATGTTCCTGTTGGAGCCTGTGATATCTGTTCCTGTTGGAGCCAGTGATATCTGTTCCTGTTGGAGCCAGTGATATCTGTTCCTGTTGGAGCCTGTGATATCTGTTCCTGTTGGAGCCAGTGATATCTGTTCCTGTTGGAGCCAGTGATATCTGTTCCTGTTGGAGCCAGTGATATCTGTTCCTGTTGGAGCCTGTGATATCTGTTCCTGTTGGAGCCAGTGATATCTGTTCCTGTTGGAGCCTGTGATATCTGGTCCTGTTGGAGCCAGTGATATCTGTTCCTGTTGGAGCCAGTGATATCTGTTCCTGTTGGAGCCAGTGATATCTGTTCCTGTTGGAGCCAGTGATATCTGGTCCTGTTGGAGCCAGTGATATCTGTTCCTGTTGGAGCCAGTGATATCTGTTCCTGTTGGAGCCAGTGATATCTGTTCCTGTTGGAGCCAGTGATATCTGTTCCTGTTGGAGCCTGTGATATCTGTTCCTGTTGGAGCCAGTGATATCTGTTCCTGTTGGAGCCAGTGATATCTGTTCCTGTTGGAGCCTGTGATATCTGTTCCTGTTGGAGCCAGTAATATCTGTTCCTGTTGGAGCCAGTGATATCTGTTCCTGTTGGAGCCAGTGATATCTGTTCCTGTTGGAGCCTGTGATATCTGTTCCTGTTGGAGCCAGTGATATCTGTTCCTGTTGGAGCCAGTAATATCTGTTCCTGTTGGAGCCTGTGATATCTGGTCCTGTTGGAGCCAGTGATATCTGGTCCTGTTGGAGCCAGTGATATCTGTTCCTGTTGGAGCCTGTGATATCTGTTCCTGTTGGAGCCAGTGATATCTGTTCCTGTTGGAGCCAGTGATATCTGGTCCTGTTGGAGCCTGTTGGAGCCAGTGATATCTGTTCCTGTTGGAGCCAGTGATATCTGGTCCTGTTGGAGCCAGTGATATCTGTTCCTGTTGGAGCCAGTGATATCTGTTCCTGTTGGTGCCTGTGATATCTATATATTTTTATTACACTCAATACCCCGTAATGACAAAGCAAAAACGGTTTTTTAGAAATTCTAGCAAATTGATAAAAATAAAATAAAATACAAATGATATTTGCATAAGTATTCAGACCCTTTACTCAGTACTTTGTTGAAGCACCTTTGGCAGCGATTACAGCCTCGAGTCTTCTTGGGTGTGACGCTACAAGCTTGGCACACCTGTATTTGGGGAGTTTCTCCCATTCTTCTCTGCAGATCCTCTCAAGCTCTGTCAGGTTGGATGGGGAGCGTCGCTGCACAGCTATTTTCAGGTCTCTCCAGAGATGTTAGATCGGGTTCAAGTCCGGGCTCTGGCTGGGCCACTCAAGGACATTCAGAGACTTGTCCCGAAGCCACTCCTGCGTTGTCTTGGCTGTGTGCTTAGGGTCGTTGTCCTGTTGGAAGGTGAACCTTCACCCCAGTCTGAGGTACTGAGCGTTCTGGAGCAGGTTTTCATCATGGATCGCTCTGTACTTTGCTCTGTTAATATTTCCCTTGATCCTGACTAGTCTCCCAGTCCCTGCCACTGAAAAACATCCCCACAGCATGATGCTGCCACCACCATGCTTCACCGTAGGGATGGTGCCAGTTTTCCTCCAGACGTGACGCTTGGCATTCAGGCCAAAGAGTTCAATCTTGGTTTCATCAGACCAGAGAATCTTGTTTCTCATGGTCTGAGAGTCCTTTAGGTGCCTTTTGGCAAGCTCCAAACAAACTGTCGTGCCTTTTACTGAGGAGTGGCTTCCGTCTGGCCACTCTACCATAAAGGCCTGATTGGTGGAGTGCTGCAGAGATGGTTGTCATTCTGGAAGGTTCTCCCATCTCCATAGAATAACTCTGGAGCTCTGTCAGAGTGACCATCTGGTTCTTGGTCACCTCCCTGACCAAGGCCCTTCTCCCCCGATTGCTCAGTTTGGCCGGGTGGCCAGCTCTAGGAAGAGTCTTGGTGGTTCCAAACGTCTTCCATTTAAGAATGATGGAGGCCACTGTGTTCTTGGGGACCTTCAATGCTGCAGACATTTTTTGGTACCCTTCCCCAGATCTGTGCCTCGACAATCCTGTCTTGGAGCTCTACGGCCAATTCCTTCGACCTCATGGTTTGGTTTTTGCTCTGACATGCACTGTCAACTGTGGGACCTTATATAGACAGGTGTGTGCCTTTCCAAATCATGTCCAATCGATTGAATTTACCACAGGTGGACTCAAATCAAGTTGTAGAAACATCTCAAGGATGATCAATGGAAACAGGATGCACCTGAGCTCAATTTCAAGTCTCATAGAAAAGGGTCTGAATACTTATGTAAATAAGGTATTTCGTTTTTTTTATAGATTTGCAAAAATCATTATGGGATATTGTGTGTAGATTGATGAGGAACATGTTTTATTTAATCCATTTTAGAATAAGGCTGTAATCTAACAAAATGTGGAATAAGGGAAGGGGTCTGAATACTTTCCTCTGGATGAAATAAATTGTCTATGTGATATTTGCACAATATAGTTAAAACAAATTGATTATTTTAATATTTATTTATTTATGTATCGATATTTTATTACATGTAACTGTTTTAAACCCAATCAGGGTATATATATAGCGTTTTACCATAAAAACATGGTTATTTGGCTCTCTAAAATGCAATATATTTCAAACAAAATCATGTCAGTCTTTTCACTAGCCCATGTCATGGTAAGATTCATCATGTCTCTTTTCACTGGCCCATGTCATGGTAAGATTCATCATGTCAGTCTTTTCACTAGCCCATGTCATGGTAAGATTCATCATGTCTCTTTTCACTGGCCCATGTCATGGTAAGATTCATCATGTATGTCTCTTTTCACTGGCCCATGTCATGGTAAGATTCATCATGTATGTCTCTTTTCACTGGCCCATGTCATGGTAAGATTCATCATGTCTCTTTTCACTGGCCCATGTCATGGTAAGATTCATCATGTATGTCTCTTTTCACTGGCCCATGTCATGGTAAGATTCATCATGTCTCTTTTCACTGGCCCATGTCATGGTAAGATTCATCATCTCAGTCTTTTCACTAGCCCATGTCATGGTAAGATTCATCATCTCAGTCTTTTCACTAGCCCATGTCATGGTAAGATTCATCATGTCTCTTTTCACTGGCCCATGTCATGGTAAGATTCATCATGTCTCTTTTCACTAGCCCATGTCATGGTAAGATTCATCATGTCTCTTTTCACTGGCCCATGTCATGGTAAGATTCATCATGTCTCTTTTCACTGGCCCATGTCATGGTAAGATGAAAAAATAATAGATCTCTTTCACAATATTTGTTTTTAATTAGTGTCAATTTACCAACATTTCTGAAAATGTATATATCGCGTTTTGGAATGAAACTCTTCACTTCTCTGCGATGGGCCCTGGATGTTTATGGAAAACCTGGGAATTTTGGGGAAAGTTACTGGATTTTTTGCAACCCTTAATCAGGATTGTGGACATGGAAATAGACACGTACCCCACCAGGCCTCCGAATATCTCTGTGACGTAGGAGTAGTCTCCCCCTGACTTGGGGATGGTGACCCCCAGCTCAGCGTAACACATGGAACCCAGGGCGCAGATACCCCCTCCACACACCCATACGATGAGGGACAGGCCCACCGAACCAGCATGCTCCAAAACCCCCTTGGGAGAGATGAAGATCCCCGAGCCAATGATGTTACCTGGGGAGCGGAGAACAAAGAAAGAGAGATATACGTTAGTATCAAGTATAGTAGTTTCCTGTGGTCTTCGACAACCTCCCAGTCCTGTCCCCTTGTTGTTACAGTTGGGAGGTGTTATCAGAACAGAAATCTGTTTTCTGCTATCAATTTGATAAACACCGCTAATCATCACACAGCTGTTTCAGATCTGGGCTAACACCAAAGTGGACTGAACTGACCATGGAGCTCTGGTGTTGTTTTCCATGTCCAAGTCTCTGTTCTGCAGGGTCAGTAAACTGGACTGTACTACACTATGTAACCCTGGCTAACACTGAGAGGTACACTGAGGTCTAATTGGTAGTGATCCCGCTGTAAACGTTTTTGTGTGATGTGGAGACAGCGAGGGCTCTGAGCTCCAGGCGAGGCCCAGTGAAGCACGTCATCCCATCGCAGTGCCTCTCTGTAAACAAACAGCTCTGTAAATGTAATGATGCTCCAGTGAAAGAACTCTAAACAGTAGATTTCCTCCTGTCACTTCTGATCTGGAGAGAGTACGGTGAGGAGCGGGGAGGATGTTACATAATGCTCTTGTGTTTTGTTTTTGTGTTCTCATCACGAATCATTGCATCGGCTGGGGAGCCTGGCTCAGATCTGATGTCTATAGTACAGTACAGGCTGGGGAGCCTGGCTCAGATCTGATGTCTATAGTACAGTACTGACGGCTGGGGAGCCTGGCTCAGATCTGATGTCTATAGTACAGTACTGACGGCTGGGGAGCCTGGCTCAGATCTGATGTCTATAGTACAGTACTGACGGCTGGGGAGCCTGGCTCAGATCTGATGTCTATAGTACAGTACTGACGGCTGGGGAGCCTGGCTCAGATCTGATGTCTATAGTACAGTACTGACGGCTGGGGAGCCTGGCTGAGAAGCAGTGGAACTGTGGAAGATGTTTGAAGAGGCAGTAGTTGGTGGGACAGTTGAGGGTGGAGATAGAAAGCTAGGAAGAAGAGAGTGGCTGTTGTGGTACAATCATCATCCTCCTCTGTGTCTGAAGCTCTGAAGCTCTGTTGAGGACTTCAGATGAGAAGGAGGTGAAGAGTGGAGGCGGGCGGAGCCTGGGTGGAGGCGGGCGGAGCCTGGGTGGAGGTGGGCGGAGCCTGGGTGGAGGCGGGCAGAGCCTGGGTGGAGGTGGGCGGAGCCTATAGAGTTACATCACAGCCTACAGGGCGTTGTTAGGGGTTAGTATACATTCTGTGATCATAGCTTCCTGTTCAAGCACAAGCACGCTACACCTGCTACACCACTTCCTGCCTCTCGACTTTGAATGTTAGGCACTTCAACCAGAGAAGGAAATGTTCTATTCTGCTACGGAGATGGAGAGAGGGGAGAGTGACATGACACTTCTCTCCTGCGTTCTGCCTTCTGCGTTGTAGTTGCATTAGAAGAGGTTTTCAGTAGAGAAGAACTTCTCAGGTTCAATCGATTACAGAATGGAGAGAGAGCAGTGACAGTTGCATTCTGCATGTTCTTAGACCTGGCAGCTCTTCTAGGGTCAATGACAAAATAAAGAACCCAGCATCACAGAGAGGCCTCATCTGAAGTAGGTAGGGACAACATCAAACAACGACTAAGTGATGGTGGTACAGTAATAGGAACGCTGAGACACTCTCCTTAATGCACTTGACCTTGTCCAAAAGATATCCTGCCCAGATAATGTAGTGATAAAAACTGCTCACAATATTGGCTTAGTAAATACCATCCAGTCAGTAAATACCAGCCACGTGATTAGCTGAGTTAGAGTGGAATAAGTAGCATGGGTGGAACAGACAGCACCATGCAGAAGAGGACAGGATTATATAGTTGACCAGAACATGGCATAAATCCACTACTCAGAATTAGGGTTCGAGATACCAGTTTCACAATACTCTGAAGTATCATGGCAAGCAGACAAAACGTGAAGTGTGACAGCCCTACTCAGAATGAAAGGAGCGAGCCAGACTGTCAGACCGTGGGTTGTAGTTGACTGTCAGACCGTGGGTTGTAGTTGACTGTCAGACCGTGGGTTGTAGTTGACTGTCAGACCGTGGGTTGTAGTTGACTGTCAGACCGTGGGTTGATGTCGACTGTCAGACCGTGGGTTGTAGTTGACTGTCAGACCGTGGGTTGTTGTCGACTGTCAGACCGTGGGTTGTAGTTGACTGTCAGACCGTGGGTTGATGTCGACTGTCAGACCGTGGGTTGATGTCGACTGTCAGACCGTGGGTTGATGTCGACTGTCAGACATTGGATCTGCCTGTAGTGGGGGAGGGAGGGGGGTGTTCTGTTGTGGGGGAGGGAGGGGGGGGTAGTTCTGTATTGGGGGAGGGAGGGGGGTGTTATGTATTGAGGGAGGGAGGGGGGGTGTTCTGTATTGGGGGAGGGAGGGGGGGTAGTTCTGTATTGGGGGAGGAAGGGGGTTGTTTTCCACAAAAGGCCTTTATTACAGACAGAAATACTCCTCAGCAAAATTAGAGAGAAATAAGCTTTTTGTGCATATGGAATTTTTGTATGTATTTTTTTTTTTCAGCTCATGAAACATGGGACCAACACTTTACATGTTGCATTGATATTTTTGTTCAGCACATACAGAATTAAGATGTACTGATTGTATATGCCTTCACACCACAGAGTTAATACTTGGTGGAAGCCCATTTGGCCCATTACAGCTGTGAGTCATTTTCATTACGATTCTACCAACCCTCGGGGGGCAACATATATTCATTGTTTTTTGTCACAATTGATCAAGCTCAGTACATATGGTTGAGAATCATTGACGAACAGCAAAATTCAAACCTTGTCTCGGATTTTCAGGTAGATTTAAGTCTGGACTGAGACTGGCTGGACCATTCAGGAAACACTCAGCACCTCTTGGAAAGCCATTCTGTAGTCTTTGGCATTTAAAATGTGTTTAATTAACCCGCTGAAAATTAAAACTCTGTCCCAGGGTTAGCGTTGCATTACTGGGCTTGTATGAAAAAGTGAAAAGAAAGAAGCCTATGTTAAACCATTCTCTCTAAATCATCTATTCTGTTTGCAACAAGGCCTTTAAGTAATACTGGCTCAGTTTGTCTTTAGCTTGATCAAAACAAGGTGTTCTATAGCAAGCACATCCATACGTTCTAAGTCAAGAGGTTGTTGAAATCATCTCAAGACATCATGAGATCAGAAGGATATCACAAGATAGGATCCTTATTTAGAATGTGGACCTTGTACAGCATGAATGACTATTGAGATTTTATAATGAAACGGGACGGATCCTTGTTAATGTAGTCTAATGCATAAATAATAAAACAGGAGACAGATCATTGTCAGTGTAGTCTAATACATAAATAATGAAACGGGACAGATCATTGTTAGTGTAGTCTAATGCATAAATAATGAAACGGGACGGATCATTGTTAGTGTAGTCTAAGGCATAAATAATGAAACGGAACAGATCATTGTTAGTGTAGTCTAAGGCATAGATCATGAAACAGGGGACAGATCATTGTTAGTGTAGTCTAAGGCATAAATAATGAAACGGGACAGATCATTGTTAATGTAGTCTAAGGCATAAATAATGAAACGGGACAGATCATTGTTAGTGTAGTCTAAGGCATAAATAATGAAACGGGACAGATCATTGTTAGTGTAGTCTAAGGCATAAATAATGAAACGGGGGACAGATCATTGTTAGTGTAGTCTAAGGCATAAATAATGAAACGGGACAGATCATTGTTAGTGTAGTCTAAGGCATGAATAATGAAACGGGACAGATCATTGTTAGTGTAGTCTAAGGCATGAATAATGAAACGGGACAGATCATTGTTAGTGTAGTCTAAGGCATAAATAATGAAACGGGACAGATCATTGTTAGTGTAGTCTAAGGCATAAATAATGAAACGGGACAGATAATTGTTAGTGTAGTCTAAGGCATAAGTAATGAAACGGTGACAGATCATTGTTAGTGTAGTCTAAGGCATAAATAATGAAATGGGACAGATCATTGTTAATGTAGTCTAAGGCATAAATAATGAAATGGGACGGATCATTGTTAATGTAGTCTAAGGCATGAATAATGAAACGGGGAACAGATCATTGTTAGTGTAGTCTAAGGCATAAATAATGAAACGGGACAGATCATTGTTAGTGTAGTCTAAGGCATAAATAATGAAACGGGACAGATCATTGTTAGTGTAGTCTAAGGCATAAATAATGAAACGGGACAGATAATTGTTAGTGTAGTCTAAGGCATAAGTAATGAAACGGGGACAGATCATTGTTAGTGTAGTCTAAGGCATAAATAATGAAATGGGACAGATCATTGTTAATGTAGTCTAAGGCATAAATAATGAAATGGGACGGATCATTGTTAATGTAGTCTAAGGCATGAATAATGAAACGGGGAACAGATCATTGTTAGTGTAGTCTAAGGCATAAATAATGAAACGGGACAGATCATTGTTAGTGTAGTCTAAGGCATAAATAATGAAACGGGGGACAGATCATTGTTAGTGTAGTCTAAGGCATAAATAATGAAACGGGGGACAGATCATTGTTAGTGTAGTCTAAGGCATAAATAATGAAACGGGACAGATCATTGTTAGTGTAGTCTAAGGCATAAATAATGAAACGGGGACAGATCATTGTTAGTGTAGTCTAAGGCATAGATAATGAAACGGGACAGATCATTGTTAGTGCAGTCTAAGGCATGAATAATGAAACGGGGAACAGATCATTGTTAGTGTAGTCTAAGGCATGAATAATGAAACGGGACAGATCATTGTTAGTGTAGTCTAAGGCATGAATAATGAAATGGGACGGATCATTGTTAGTGTAGTCTAAGGCATAGATAATGAAATGGGACGGATCATTGTTAGTGTAGTCTAAGGCATAGATAATGAAACAGGACAGATCATTGTTAGTGTAGTCTAAGGCATAAATAATGAAACGGGACAGATCATTGTTAGTGTAGTCTAAGGCATAAATAATGAATAATGGATAAAACATTTACAGTATAATAGAATAATCCCACAGTTGACAGTTGCATGTCAGAGCAGAAACTATACCATGAAGTCCAAGGAACTGTCCGTAGATCTCCGTGATGAGGCATATATCTGGGGAAGGGTAGAAAACCATCTGCCTGATGAGGCATATATCTGGGGAAGGGTAGAAAACCATCTGCCTGATGAGGCATATATCTGGGGAAGGGTAGAAAACCATCTGCCTGATGAGGCATATATCTGGGGAAGGGTATGAAACCATCTGCCTGATGAGGCATATATCTGGGGAAGGGTATGAAACCATCTGCCTGATGAGGCATATATCTGGGGAAGGGTATGAAAACCATCTGCCTGATGAGGCATATATCTGGGGAAGGGTAGAAAACCATCTGCCTGATGAGGCATATATCTGGGGAAGGGTAGAAAACCATCTGCCTGATGAGGCATATATCTGGGGAAGGGTAGAAAACCATCTGCCTGATGAGGCATATATCTGGGGAAGGGTAGAAAACCATCTGCCTGATGAGGCATATATCTGGGGAAGGGTAGAAAACCATCTGCCTGATGAGGCATATATCTGGGGAAGGATAGAAAACCATCTGCCTGATGAGGCATATATCTGGGGAAGGGTATGAAACCATCTGCCTGATGAGGCATATATCTGGGGAAGGGTAGAAAACCATCTGCCTGATGAGGCATATATCTGGGGAAGGGTATGAAACCATCTGCCTGATGAGGCATATATCTGGGAAGGGTAGAAAACCATCTGCCTGATGAGGCATATATCTGGGGAAGGGTAGAAAAACCATCTGCCTGATGAGGCATATATCTGGGGAAGGGTAGAAAACCATCTGCCTGATGAGGCATATATCTGGGGAAGGGTATAAAACCATTTCTAGAGTGTTGAAAATGTCCAAGAGCACAGTGGCCTCCATCATTGGGAAATGGAAACAATATGGAACTACCCCGAGTCTGCCTAGAGGCTGGCTCTCCGACCAAACTGAGCAACTGGGCTAGAAGGACCTTGGTCAGGGAGGTGACCAAGAACCCAAAGGCCACTCTGACAGAACTACAGAGTTCTTTGGCTGAGATGGGAGAACCTGCCAGAAGGACAACAGTCTCTACAGCACTTCACCAATCTGGGCTTTATGGGAGAGTGGCCAGACGGAAGCCACTCCTGAGAAAAAAGGCACATGACAGCACGCTTGGAGTTTGCAAAAAGACACATGAAAGAGTCTGAGATCATAAGGCAAAAGATCCTGTGGTCTGGTGAGACAGAAATTATCTCTTTGGCCTGAATGCAAACCGCTGTGTCTGGAAAAAACCTGGCACAGCTCATCACCCTATCTAACACCATCCCTACCGTGAAGCATGGTGGTGGCAGCATCATGCTATTGGGGATGCTTTTCAGCGGCAGGGACTGGGAGACTGGTAAGGATAGAGGGAACAATGAATGGAGCCAAAAACAGACAAATCCTTGATGAGAACCTGCTTCAGAGTGCAAACGACCTTAGACTGGGGGGTGAAGATTTACATTCCAACAAGACAATGACCCCAAGCAATACAGCCAAAGCAACGCTGGAATGGCTTCAGAACAAGAATGTGAAAGTCCTTGAGTGGCCAAAGCCCAGACTTGAATCCCATTGAAAATCTGTGGAAAGACTTGAAGATTGCTGTTCACCGCCCACTCCCCATCTAACTTAACAGAGCTTGAGAAAATCTGCAAAGATGAATGGGAGAAAATCCCCAAATCTAGACGCTAAGCTGGTGCAGACATACCCAAGAAGACTCAAAGCTGTAATTGCCACCAAAGGTGCTTCTACAAAGTATTGACTCAGGGGTGTGAATACTTATGTAAATTAGATATTTCAGTATTTCTTTATCAATACATTTGGAGAAAAAAAAATCTAAAAACATGTTTTCTCTTTGTCATTATGGGGTATCATGTGCAGATGGGTGAGAATGTTTTATTTATTTAATTAGTTTTAAATTCAGGCTGTAACAACAACATGTAGATAAGAAATAGACTTGAGAGTGGGCTGATTTAATAATAATAATAATAATAACATGCCATTTAGCAGACGCTTTTATTCAAAGCGACTTACAGTCATGCGTGCATACATTTTTGTGTATGGGTGGTCCCGGGGATCGAACCCACTACCTTGGCGTTACAAGCGCCGTGCTCTACCAGCTGAGCTACAGAGGACCACGATTTCCTACAAATACATTTCAGACTAATGAGCTGCTATTACAGCGTGGTAATAACACAGCTATCTTCAATTAGCCTACAATTAATGTACAAAGAACACCAATAAATACATGGTGTGTCTAAAGTGGAATAATACGAGTTCAATTATAAATACAGTGTCTAAAGAGTTGATTAATAGGTGTTCAATAACATTAGGATACTTTTTAAATAATACCCTAAATGTGATATTTGATCAATAATGACCTTATCTTTAACGTCATCATCAGAGACCATATAGGTTTTTTCCGCAACAGCTAAATTGAACACTGTCAGTTCACTACCTAGATCGCCCTCCAGATCAGGTGACCATTCATAAAGTCCACCAGCGTGTTGTATTGTACGCTGCCAGGGTCGAGTTGGCCATACTTCATCACACTGAGATCAGAGGAGAGATATCCAGCCACGTAAGCATTGTCAGTACAATACAGCAGCCCTGAAGTCCCGTACTACCATTATCAGATGATGCAACATCGCCGAGAGTTTCCTTACGTCGACCAGAACCTGTAGCCTATTCAGAGATACTCCGATATTCAGAAGCAGGTACATTACCATTAAAGCTATAGCCTCAATGGTAACGATTAGACTTCATGAACCACTAAATGTGTCCGTGCGTAATGTTGCGCCATAGAGCTAGTTTTCTCCGTAGACAATTATCTATCAGTAATATAGTAGGCTAAATAACGGGATATCAACGCCATACCTAGACCCAACTCTGTCTGAAATGAAGCGGAAGGAACAGAAACCAGATAAGAGTCCATCCTACTCTCCTTTAATCCTCAATAGACCGTCAGCCCAGTCAACCACATTTCCACAGCCTTGCTACTCTTTCAACCGCACTGTGTACACATTTATCATAAGAAGTAGGCTATGATAAAGCTGTTTTATTTTCCTCACCAATAATAATGGCACATGCGCTGAGGAGTCCGATTTCTTTTTTAAGCGTGACTCTATCTGACGGCGAGTCAGTCTTCTCCTTTCCATTGAGTTCCATCATGGGCTGTTGCGCCTCATCCGGCTCAGCCTGCGAAGCAGCGCAGCTCTTCCGACTCCTCTCTGTCCCGTCCATGTCTGAGGCGCAACTGAAAACTGCCTCAGTTCCTTCGGCCTGAGCTCAAATACAACACTGATGCACGCCACGGTCGGTGGACATCACACGCATGCGCGGCGGTAGGACCGTGAGCTCGATTCGAATAACATGCAAATAGCCATTGGTGTAAAGTACTTAAGTAAATGTACTTTAAAGTACTACAGTCGTTTCTTTTTTTTTTGAATGCTTAGCAGGACAGGAAAATTGTCAAATTCACGCAATTATCAAGAGAACATCCCTGGTCATCCCTACTGCCTCTGATCTGGCGGACTCACTAAACACAAATGCTTCGTTTTATAAATGATGTCTGAGTGTTGGAGTGTGCCCCTGGCTATCTGTAAATTAAAAAAACAAGAAAATGGTGCCATATGGTTTGCTTAATATAAGGAATTTGAAATGATTTCTACTTTTACTTTTGAAACTTAAGTATATTTTAGCGTTTACATTTTACTTTTGATATTTAAGTATATTTAAAATCAAATACTCAACTAGTATTCTACCGGGTGACTTTCTCTTTTACTTGAGTCATTTTCTATTAAGGTATCTTTACTTTTACTCAAGTATGACAATTGGGTACTTTTTCCACCACTGAAAATAGTCCCTTTCTCTCGGGGAGAGCTGTGTGTGCTGTGGTGCTGGCCTGTGCGCGGTTACTGCCCACCTGCGCTAGGTGGGACTATAGTGCAAGTGTTTTTGGCGGTATTTCAAATTCATTTATGAAAATGAATCAAAAGCCATGATATAATGTGGTCATAGAATAGAATGTCTTCTAAGAAGGCCATTATTTTAGATATCAAATGGTGATAAGATAAGGTAGAACTATAGTTTGTTTTCATGTTGGATTATCATTTAGATATCAAACGGTGATAAGATAAGGTATAACTATCCTTTGTTTTCATGTTGGATTATAATTGCAGCTCCAGCAATAAAAAGGTCCCAAGATAGGAACAGTTGTTTGTTAGGAGCATCTCTAGGGCATGTAACCTGATGATGTCATCTCAATACTGACTCAAACCAGGGGTGAGTCCCAAATGGCAGCCTTTTGCCCCTATGGGTCCTGGTGCAAAGCAGGGCACTATGTAGGGAATAGGGTGCCATTTGGGATGCGCACAAGGGCATGATTTATGCCTGGTATGGATCACACACTGTAAGGAGAACTGCTGCCTGCCTGTCTTCTCTACCAGGTAGCTGCCTGCCTGTCTTCTCTACCAGGTAGCTGCCTGCCTGTCTTCTCTACCAGGTAGCTGCCTGCCTGTCTTCTTACCAGGTAGCTGCCTGCCTGTCTTCTCTACCATAGCTGCCTGCCTGTCTTCTCTACCAGGTAGCTGCCTGCCTGTCTTCTCTACCAGGTAGCTGCCTGCCTGTCTTCTCTACCAGGTAGCTGCCTGCCTGTCTTCTCTACCAGGTAGCTGCCTGCCTGTCTTCTCTACCAGGTAGCTGCCTGCCTGTCTCTTCTCTACCAGGTAGCTGCCTGCCTGTCTTCTCTACCAGGTAGCTGCCTGCCTGTCTTCTCTACCAGGTAGCTGCCTGCCTGTCTTCTCTACCAGGTAGCTGCCTGCCTGTCTTCTCTACCAGGTAGCTGCCTGCCTGTCTTCTTCAACAGGTAGCTGCCTGCCTGTCTTCTCTACCAGGTAGCTCCAGGGCTGACCCTGTAAAACAACACATTTCACTGCATCTATCTGGTGTATGTGACAATAAACGTATATTTTTAGGCTTTACTTTGTGTCTCTTCTATATCAATATATTCCATGAAACTGCAGTCTATTCATTTCAAAATATTGTATACTATTTGAAATGATCTGAACTATATAGAATATATCTACAGGCATTCTGTCCAATAAGCTATATCATGTGGTCATCTCAGTGGTCCTCTGTAGCTCAATTGGTAGAGCATGGCACTCGCAACGCCGGGGTAGTGGGTTCGATCCCCGGGACCACCCATGTAAAAATGTATGCACACATGACTGTAAGTCGCTTTGGATAAAATCGTCTGCTAAATGGCATATTATTTATTATTAAAACCAGTTGTCCTTGGCCTCCACACACATAAGCTACTGTACTGTCTGATCCTAGCCAAATGAGTTTCTTTCTGCTTTACATGATTCCTATCAGAGGTACGCTGTACGATACAGTAGAGATTCCTTTCAGAGGAACGCTGTACGATACAGTAGAGATTCCTTTCAGAGGAACGCTGTACGGAACGTAGATTCCTTTCAGAGGAACGCTGTACGATACAGTAGAGATTCCTTTCAGAGGAACGCTGTACGTACAGTAGAGATTCCTTTCAGAGGAACGCTGTACGGTACAGTAGAGATTCCTTTCAGAGGAACGCTGTACGGTACAGTAGAGATTCCTTTCAGAGGAACGCTGTACGGAACAGTAGAGATTCCTTTCAGAGGAACGCTGTACGGTACAGTAGAGATTCCTTTCAGAGGAACGCTGTACGGTACAGCAGAGATTCCTTTCAGAGGAACGCTGTACGGTACAGTAGAGATTCCTTTCAGAGGAACGCTGTACGGTACAGTAGAGATTCCTTTCAGAGGAACGCTGTACGGTACAGTAGAGATTCCTTTCAGAGGAACGCTGTACGGTACAGTAGAGATTCCTTTCAGAGGAAGATTCCTTTCAGAGGAACGCTGTACGGAACAGTAGAGATTCCTTTCAGAGGAACGCTGTACGGTACAGTAGAGATTCCTTTCAGAGGAACGCTGTATCGGTACAGTAAGATTCCTTTCAGATAAGCTGTACGGACAGTAGAGATTCCTATCAGAGGAACGCTGTACGGTACATAGAATTCCTTTCCAGAGGAACGCTGTACGCTACAGTAGAGATTCCTTTCAGAGGAACCGTACGACACGTAGAGATTCCCTTCGAGGAACGTGCCAATTCCTTTCGGAACGCTGTACGGAAATAGGATCCTTTGATGGAACGCTGTACGCTACAGTGAGATTCCTTTCAAGAACCTGTACGGCAGTAGAGATTCCTTTCAGAGGACGCTGTACGTACTTAGAGATTCCTTTCAGACGCCTACGGCAGTAGAGTTCCTTTCAGAGAACCTGTACGAACATAGAGATTCCTTCAGCGAACGCTGTACGGTAAGTGAGTTCCTTCAGAGGACGCTGTACGACAAATTCCTTTCATCCAGGAACCTGTTACGTACGTAAGATTCCTGTTCAAGGAACGCTGACCGCACAGTAAGATTCCTTTCAGAGGAACCTGTACGTACATAAGATTCCTTTCAGAGGAACGCTGTACCGGATCCAGTGAGGATTCCTTTCAGAGGAACGCTGTACGGTACAGTAGACATTCCCTTCAGAGAACGCTGTACGACAGTAGAATTCCTTTCAGAGGTACCTGTACGGTACATAAGATCCCCTTTCAGAGGACGCTGTTACGGTACACAGAGATTCCTTCAGAGAACGCTGTACGTTACAGCAAGATTCCCCATCGCGACTGATAGGTTCGCCTTCCTACTTACCTCTGTTCAGGGAACGCTTCTCCACCATGTCCTTCGGGCCCTACGACCACGTACCACCCTCTTCCAACGCACCAACCAGTGTCACTAGAAATGATCTAGTTGTTCTCCATAGAACATTCCCTAAGCATCTAAAGGAACTAAGCTGTGGACGTTCTACTGCTGTTGCACCTCCCTCCAGGCACTGTACTGTCTACAACAACAGCAATCATTTTCCACACTCACAATCCGCTTAAGGTTACGTTCCTCCTCTTCAACGCCCACAGCTGTGTATTCAGCTACATCTGTACCTCACAAAGTGTGTATAGATGTTCCCATCCTGTGATGGTACGTTTCCCATCTACTCTGTTCCACCTCCCCACCAGCTGATGGTACGTTCCTACCTCTGTTCCACCTCCCCCATCCAGCTGATGGTACGTTCCTACCTCTGTTCCACCTCCCCCATCCAGCTGATGGTACGTTCCTACCTCTGTTCCACCTCCCCCATCCAGCTGATGGTACGTTCCTACCTCTGTTCCACCTCCCCCATCCAGCTGATGGTACGTTCCTACCTCTGTTCCACCTCCCCCAGCCCCCACCCCTCATTCCCCGCCCAAACCAACTGTCAACTGTGAGTCTAGTGTTTCCATAAACATCCCTATCTCATAAAGAGAAACTAAAAGCAGGTGTGAGGTTTATTTTGGGCTTTGGAAATCCTCCAGGCACTGTCTGTCTGACAACAGATGACAACAGCAACAGTTTTACACTCACAAGTCTCGTAAAGTTATGTTCTTCAGCGATCAGTGGTGTATTCGGCTAATTGAACATCACAAAATCTTATAGATTGTGTCCATAACTGGTGTGTTTTTCCCCATTCTTCAGTTTAAAGCTGGAATTTTACCATTTTAGTCATTTAGCAACAGTGTTTCCCAACTCCAGTCCTCCAGCACCCCCAACAGTACACATTTTTTACTTTTAGCCCCGGACAAGCACGCCTCATTCAACACAACAAGGGCTTGATGATTAGTTGACAAGTTGAATAAGGTGTGCTTGTCCCGGGGGCTAAAATAAAAACGGAAGAATGGGGGAAAACACACCAGTGACAGGACAGAGCAGAGTTTTGACTGGGCTGAGCGGGGGGGGGCCAAGAGACCAGAGGTGGCAGAACAGAGTGCTCCAGGTTGGGGTGTAAGCATAGCCTGAAGGTAGGGACCTCCCCTTGCTGCTCCGTAAAGCACCGTGGTCTTTTACTGGATGCGAGTTTCAACTGGAAGCCAGTGGAGTGTGCGGAGGAGTGGGTTGACACGGGAAGGTTGAACACCAGGCGGGCTGTGGCATTCTGGATAAGTTGAAGGGGTTTGACGGGGAGGAGCCCAGGCAACAGCAAGTTGCAGTAGTCCAGACTGGAGATGACAAGTTCCTGGATTAGGACCTGCGCCTCTTCCTGTGTGAGGTAGGGTCGTACTCTACGGATGTTGTAGCGCATTAACCTGCAGGGGCGAGTCACTGCTTTGATGTTTGCAGA